CACACTTGTATATGTATAGAAATGCTGTACAATAAAACGTATACAATTTGTGTTTGTGTTCAGGTTTGACCTCAGTCCCTCAAAACATCCCCACTGACACCAAGCTTCTAGACCTGCAGAACAACCGCATTACAGAGCTGAAGGAGAATGACTTCAAAGGCCTCAGTAATCTCTATGTAAGTAAGGCTGAAAGACAGATCATGAAGGGGCGTATTTTTTTAGGAATAATTTCAAGTCAGCTCAAGTCAAGTGGCTTTATTGTCATTTCAGTCATATACAGCTGGTATAGTACACAGTGAAATGAAACAACGTTCCTCCAGGACCATGGTATTACATAAAACAACACAGAACTACATGAGACAAACAACTACAAACTACAAACAGCGCAAGACAGTACAATAAATACTAAAACAGGACAATAGGCACAGTAAAAGACCAGTACACATTTCTAGTATGAATAAAGTGCCAGATGTAACAGGTTGTGCAAAAAGATGTAACAATATAATAATAAAATGCTGTAAATGTAAACATAGCATACTTTGACATGGTATTCAGCTGATAAGCTTATAACATATATGGACATAGCAGTTATTGGGGTAGCAGCCAGGTAGAAAGTATAAATACAGTGATAGCCTCAAGAATGCATGTGGTGAATACAGTATTTTGTTTATGGTGTTTTAGCAGCAGTTTAAGAAAGAAATGTGCAAAAATTGCAAAGGGAGTGGAATGGTGTTCAGTTGAGTATGTGTGTGAGTGTGTGCGTGCGTATATGTTGAAGGACTACAGTGCTATATGGACAGATATATAGATGGAGGGAAAATATGTGGGAGGAAAGATGACAAAACAATCCAACAGGATGTTGAAACAGACCATGTTGTCCTGCAACAGAATGCCCCTGCTGTTCTGAGAGTGTGGGTTTCTGCCAAACTGAATATTTTAGTTCCGTCCTGCACTCACAGCCAAGCACTTTTTTCCTCCTCATGTATTTAGAGCCCCAACCAAACTCAATATTTAACATGGCAAATAAATGTAATAAGAATATACTGTTAAAATGGCTTTTATTTAATACACTATACAAAATGGTTCTTCAAAGGTACTTTTGTTTTTTAAGGATTTGAGCTTTCTAAGGGGGTTCTACTTGGAACCTTTTCTGACAGGGAAACCCTTTTGATTTCCCCCAATAGACCAAAAGGTCCGAGATTAGGGTACTAGGGTTCTACTTTTCATACGTTGTACATTGAATGGGTGCTGTATTCCAGGGGTTCTCAAACATTTTGCAGGCAAGGACCGCATTACCTATAAAGTAAATCCCATGCACAGATTTATTTTATTAACATAAGTCAACTTTATTTAACAGTAGGCTCATTATTTAAATGTGTACAGTATCATTCTGGTTATTTATTGGAGCCACAGAGTTTTTTTAATTCCAGAACCTTCTACCCTCAGAACATGTTAGATTCAAGTTTACATTATTCATAAGCTGACTTGTTTTTAGTTATTGAGGTTTGGATTAAACCCATTCAATTCAAGTGAACGATCAGACAGGTGAATAACTATAAGAACTCAATAACAAATACAACTTTGAGCACCACTAATTACTTGCTTAGCTTTGGATTGTAATGTCTAATTTGTTTCTGTTTCTCTCTGTCCTGCCAGGCTTTGTCACTGGTCAACAATCAGATCTCTAAAGTTCATCTGAGGGCCTTCACACCGCTAAAGCACCTACAGAAACTTTATTTTTCCAGGAACCTGCTGACAGCAGTGCCCAAAAACCTACCACCCTCGCTGGTGGAGCTGCGCATCCACGACAACCGTATTAAGAAGGTGCCTGCGGGCTCGTTTTCTGGCCTTGGCAGCATGAACTGCATAGGTCTGGAGCTCTCTCACGATCATGTGGAACAGTGGTTGCACTTTGTCTCAACAGCTCCCTTTTTAGATGGAGCCTATTGGTTTTGTGGTGGATGCTCTGACTAATTTTTGACCATCTTTCAAAATTTTCCTTGCAGAGATGGGTGGGAACCCCATTCAGAACGGTGGCTTTGAGCCCGGAGCTTTCAAAGGTCTCAAACTCAACTACCTGCGCATCTCAGAAGCCAAGCTTACCGGTGTGCCTAAAGGTGATTATCTGAGTGAGATATTTATTCTATTTATATGATGAACCAAAAGAACATGTTTTGATATTCTCTGGTTCATATTTGTCTTCCTGAATGGGTGAATATACATGCTTACACATGTTTAGTTAAACTGTGCAAACTCTGATTTTCATTCAGTTGCACACAATACCAAACACTTGTCTGTTCTGACTGTATTGTGATTAATCCCGCTTCTCTCAGATCTCCCTGAGAGCCTCCATGAGCTCCATTTGGACCAAAACCAGATCCAAGCAATTGAGCTGGAGGACCTGAGGCGCTACAAGCAACTGTATAGGTCAGTCAAACTCTAACTCCCCGACATGTGCAGCACTGGTCATGGGGCTTCCCTGTGGCAACAGTGCCACCTAATGCTGTAATCCGTATACATACACTGAGGAATGAGGGCATAGATTAAATGTTTTCTTTAAGTTAAGAGTATTTTTAATGATGAACAGTGAAATTCAGTGTTAATTTACCTACGAAAAACACTCTGAAACAGGCAATTTTTTTGTATTTACTGCACTTTAAACCAATAAAAACAACCAGGATTTGACTAAGGGGGTGTTGTCCTATTTTGCTCAAGTTACCTCTGCAGGAGTTAATTTAGGGCAATGGGCCTAGAAGTTCTCTTCGTATAACTCTTTCGTATAACCTGTCTGGTGAAGCTAAAATATGTATTCAGGTTCACTGGATTTCCATGTCAGTGTGTTGCTTTCCTTAATCTGTTGGCATCCTGTACTGTTTCTCACATGTATATATTTTTGTGCATTTTCACTGTTGCCAGACTGGGCCTGGGTTATAACAACATTCGCAATATTGAGAGCGGCAGCCTGTCCTATTTGCCAAACCTGAGAGAACTGCATTTAGAAAACAACCGGCTGACCCATGTTCCCAAGGGCCTGGCTGACATGAAGTATCTGCAGGTGAGTGGAGATGGTATGGGAAGTGAGGAAAGCATACAGTGAATATGTTTGGCAAGGTCACATCTGGGATAGGTCAGATCTGTCATGCAGGATGGAAAGGTTAGAAACAGGGAGCTCACTGTTGCAAGGAAAGAAGCAGGACTTGAGAGCTACCTCAAGAAAAGCCAGACCATTATAGTAACACACAAAAAATAACAAATCTAACCCTAATCCTAAACTAAATTCAATCTTTCAGGTGGTGTACCTCCATTCCAACAACATAACCCGGGTAAGCGTGGATGACTTCTGCCCTGGAAGCTATAACATGAAGAAGAGCTTCTACAATGGCATTAGTCTTTATGGAAATCCCGTCCAGTACTGGGAAGTTCAGCCCGCAACTTTCCGCTGTGTCAGTGACCGCCTGGCCATTCATTTTGGAAACTACAAGAAATAAATGCACCCAGAGGCAGAGAGAAGAAAGAAGGAGTGATGGATATTGAACAATATCAAAATAAAACTGAAGAGAGGAAAGAAACTCAGAAGACTAGGGAGGGGGATAAAATATACAGTGGGTTTAGATTAGAGTCGTCTTGATGTAGAAGGAGCTTAAAAGCGGTTTAATAAGGAATGGGGGCTTGTCACGTTTCAAATGTACAGCCTGAGAGCACAGCCTGGCTACATGCCAGGATATATTCACTGAGCTGACATACAAAAAGCACCATTCAGTTTTTATAATAACTGTTATTGTTCACCAGATCTGTTTAGTAGTAATTCATATGTATTATTATTATTATTATTATTTGAACAGAGAAATTAAATATAGATTTTAATGTTAAGGTGCCCTTTATGTGTAGATCTGCCTATATGAGTGTCTTTACTGAGTCACTGTCTTGCTTCTTGTGCTTTTGGCATCTCTTCCTGAGGGGCTGTAGTAAATGTATACTGTATATGATAGGAAACTACTTGTCCTGTACTTTAAAATGCAGTTTGTCAGTCCCCCAGGCCCCATATGTCCATTCAGTGTCTTTACTGAGCCTGGAGCTGATCTATTCTAATGTACTGTTTTGCACATTGCCTCTTCATATTCTAGATGGAAGCTCTGGATGGGTTGAGCCTGTCCATGCTTGTACTCTGCTCATCTGCTGCATTTTGAGAATAAAATAATATTCTTTATGACTTGATAATGGTCTAAAATATGTACATGCATTTTTATACTGTATACACACACAATATTATATATATATATATATATATATATATATATATATATATATATATATATATATATATATATATATATATATATATATATATACATATATATGTATGTATACATACACACACCCATAAGCCATAACATTAAAACCACTGACAGGTGAAGTGAATAACATTGATTATCTCATTACACTGGCACCTGTCAAGGGGTGGGATATATTAAGCAACAAGTTAACAGTCAGTTCTCAAAGTTGATGTGTTGGAAGCAGGAAAAATGGGCAAGCGTAAGGATCTGAGAGACTTTGACAAGGGCCAAAAGACGACTGGGTCAGAGCATCTCCAAAACGGCAAGTCTTGTGGGGTGTTCCTGGTATGCAGTGGTTAGTACCTACCAAAAGTGGTCCAAGGAAGGACAACCGTTGAACTGGCGACGGGGTCATGGGCACCCAAGGCTCATTGATGCATGTGGGGAGTGAAGGCTAGCCCTTCTGGTCCGATCCCACAGAAGAGCTACTGTAGCACAAATTGCTGAAAAAGTTAATGTATATATTATAATATATATGTTGTTCTTCTTCTTCTTTCGTCTGCTCACGTTAGAGGTCACCATAGTGGATCGTTGGTCCACATATTTGATTTGGTACAATTTTTACGCCGGATGCCCTTCCTGAATCAACCCTCCCCAATTTTTATGCGGGCTTGGGATTGGCAATGGGAGTGTACTGTATTGTGCAACCCCAGTGGTTGGGGTTGCTTCCCTGGCCGGGAATTGAACCCGGGCCACGGCAGTGAGAGCGCCGAGGCCTGACCACTAGTCCTCCATATGTGTGTGTTAGTTAGTTAGTTAGTTTAAGGTTACAAATAAATTACAGTAAAAACTTACAATAAATAAACTAGTGTTTTCTACACAGCTGGTTATTATTAGATATTTACTAAGCCCCTTATAAGAGTAAAATGTGTTAGGTCAGGGAAAACGCAAAAATGTGCATTGCTGGCAGATTAATGTATAAAATATTGTGTTCCATCCCAAAACATATGCATGTATGAATGAATGTTCCCGTCTAGTTACATTTTATGAGGTAAACCTACCATGTGTAGATATACCACTGATAACTGTAGCCCACTTCACTCTCCATCAGTAGAAAAGAAACATCAAAGGACCAGTTACTATTTGGGTGGTGGGCCAGTAGCAATTAGAAAATACAAGGTGGAACAAGAAGGTAGGTGTGTGCAATACAGTTGTCAGTAAGCGTACACAGTTAAAAAAAAAAAAGAAAGAAAGAAACAGCGACACTTGGGAGACTTATGTTACCAGCTCCATAAACACTACAAAATCAGTGTCACTGCTCAGCTGAGAATGGCTCAAGAGCCAAAAAACACCATGTAGCAGTGGTCATATGGTGTTCCTTTTTTACTGATGGACAGTATAAAGTGGGGCTGACAAATTGTGCATATTATCAGATGGGCTATAGTCAGCACCTATATGATACGTGTGTCTAGCATTAAATGGTAATGAGTGCCGATACAAGGCAGGCATATGAAGCCCACTGAGTATGACCCTGGGGGGCTTGAGCCCCTGCTCATAAACTCTCAGACTGTATAAGTGCCCTCTTGGCTGGTGTGTATAAAATATATGGCCTTCATGGCACCTGAAACATGACTGAAACAGGGGACTCATTTCAAATCAAATCAGTTGGCACAACTAATTGATAAGAGCCAACATTTTCAGCTCCCAGACAGCTCATTGCCACTGTTTTTTTTTTTTAGAGTTTGCGATATTATGACTGGTGATTGTTCTTCTTTGCCTAACTTTGGCTGAGAGTGATTCATGAAATCTTACTCTATCTTCTAATTAACAAAATAACATTACTTTGCATTGCATTTTATAAAAATCTACATATTTACATAATCATGGAATCAGCAAATGGTAATTGTCAAAAACAATAAACATGCATAAATGATATTAATGTTAATGTACACTGACTACTTACTGTACATCTTCAATAGGCAGCAGTGCAGCAGATTCTCTCTGTCATGCTGTTTTATTCACACAGCTGAGAGTCAAACACACAACTCAACATTCACACTGAGGAACAGCTCAGATACTGCAAAGAAGGAGGGCAGATATAGTACACAGGATATACTATATAGCAATATGATAATGGGTCTTGACAGATTTAGGTCTTCCAGTGGTGCTATTTTTTTTTCTCCCTGTTCCATGTGCACAAGCCTGATCCCAGTGGACTGTGTGAATTTTGGGCTAAACCCTCTATCAGCCCTGCATCTGCCAAACCCACCCCCCACAAAGAAAAAAAGGGTTAACAGGTACTTGTATCTGGATGCATAACTGAGTGTTATCTCTTACTCAGAATAGGACACAGTACTCAACTCATTTCACAAAGTAGTAAAATCGTTTTTGTACTTCACCACTGGAGTCGCCAAATCGCGCGCGCGCGCACACACCTGCTGCAAGCGCATAGTGGAGACTGCTCGTGATGGTACACACGTTTCCACATCAGGGTTGTTTCTGATTAATCCAGATGTGTGTGTGTGAGGGAAATGTACGCACGTGTATACGTCAGGCCCCATATTGGAAAACAGTGGAGCAATAGAGTACAATTAACAATGCATGCGGGGATGCATGCGTTTTAAGTACCTAAAAAAATCGCCCTGCTTTTTTTTTTTTTTCTAGTTTAGGGATGAAGCAACGCTGTGCAATTTATTCACCTGTAAGCTTCTGAGTTGTGCGTCAATGCAAGTGGATCAAACAGGCCAAAATAGACTTAAGATCCGGAACATTAGTCTAAGAAAGGCTCCATCGATCTGTTTGTGGCGACATTGCCTCTTTATCTGCTGCTGCTGCTGCTTTCTCTGGGGCATGTGGCACACTGGCTGAGCTGTTGCTTCTCTTCTCGGTGAATGAATGAAGGCGCGTCACTGCGCTGCTCCCTCAACATGGCCGTCCGCGCGCAGCACTGTGGCAGCACGCTGGACATGGACGCCTGATCACACACACTTTCACTCGCTAGGATGTGCGGAACGGAGGCTGTTTGTGTAGGGTTCTGCTCGGCGATCGACATGATCACTGACAACCGATAAAACCACAGCCTTGGTGATTCGTCCTCGGATGAAGGCCGGTGCAGGAGCCTCGGGCTGGATTTGAGAAGCGGCGCTTAAAGAGGTGAGATCAGGAAAAATCGCATCATTTCCATTTAACACTAAAGCACCCATAACATTAATCAATATTTTTATTTTACACTAAAGATTTAGTACTACTACTTATTACTAGTTTATCATCATCATCATCATCATTATTATTATTATTATTATTGTTGTTGTTGTTGAATAGCAGGAGTTGTGAATGTTACAGTTTGTGCAGGGTGTACAATGTTTTGTAGCGTGCCAGAGGAAGAGGAGGCTGAGCTCTGACTAGTGTGGATGAGAGCACAGGTACTGTGTCATTCTTTACTCCTAAAGTCTTCTGATCCAATTCATGCTTCATACACCTATGCATATTACTGAACATTTGGAGATGTTTTTTTTTTTTTTTTTTTTTGCTTTAAAAAAAGTACTCCAGTGTATTGTTTTTTCCAATCTAATTACTATTCACTGCATCTCTGGAGAAATCGCATGAAAGAATTTAAAACCCATTGACCCACCAGGAAAATGTCTAAGAGCATTTGTTGAATTCTGTCAGTAAAATATGTAAGTATATAATGATATAAATTGAAAACCACAACTGTTACCCTCTAATAATCAGTGTCTTAGGATGAGAGGGACATGAACAAATATCTTACCAAGGTTGTTCTTATTCAACTTATTCAACGCTGGAACAATAAAGTCTGTTCAGTTAGCTTATACTTCCTCTAAGGGTTTTTGGCATCCATGCTCAATCAGACCAACACAAATTCATACCTTTAAAAATATCGCCATCTCTGATAAAATAATTATTCCAATTTAAAGCTTAATTTAAATACCTTTGACTAAAGAATTCATGAATGTATTTGCATAAACTTTTAATGACTGCCCCAAAAAGTTCCATTATATGAGTTCCAAGTCTAGTTCTCTGACTACTGTGTGTCAGAATTATTGTTTGTAATTTTCTCTATACGCTGCAGCTGCTGTATATAGTGATTAATTTGAAAATGCTGTATAACTTGTGCATATCAGTCTAGAGATTGCACTGGGTTTTGATGTCTTCCTGATTTTAATGTGTGGTGTTTCTTGTTTTACAGTGGCCAGTTTACAGGAGACATGACTGTGCATTCCTTATACATTAACACAGGGCTGTCAGTTAATATCAGAAATTACTTCATCTACTTCAACAATACCCTTCCTCCCTAACCTTTTTCTTCCAGCTCATCTCTCCCTTCCTTAATTGTTCCTTTTTGTCTTTAACATGTCAATTACCCTACCCTTTCACATGCTCATGACCTGACTGACCCTCCTCTGTCAATGCACCTCTCCTTCTACCGCTTTCTTTTGTTCCTCATCGCTCTTTCTCTGTGCTCAGTGCCGTGATGCTGTGCTGTGGCCGAGCTCTGGACTCTCCCTGTACTCTAGCTCTGCTGGTGGGCTTCCAGTTTGCATTTGTGCTCTATTTCTCTTTGGGAGGCTTCCGTGGCCTTGTCTCTGTGCTGGTGCACTCCTCAGAACCTGAATTTGACTACTCTCGGCCACATGATGTCTACACCAACCTCAGCCAGCTCAGTGCCCTGCTGCCCCCTCACCCCAGCGGAGCCGAGCAGCAGCTCAGGGGCTGCTTGCTGCCGTCACCACTGCTTGGTGAGTACCTGTTTTTACAGATATATAATGTTACACACACAGAGTATTAAAATACTGTCTATATATGTGTGTGTGTGTGTGTATATATATATATATATATATATATATATATATATATATATATATATATATATATATATATATATATATATATATATATACACACACACATTTTTAATGTTTTCTATTTTTTTTTCTGTTGCTTTGTGTTAGTGGGTCCTGTATCTGTGCGCCTGTCCTCCCCTCTTTCCCTGGAGGAGATAAAAGAGAAGAACCCTCTGGTGACCCCAGGAGGCCATTACCGTCCCCCGGACTGTGAACCAAGGCACCACACAGCTATCGTGGTCCCCTACCGGAACCGGCAGAGCCACCTGCGAACACTCCTCTACCATCTGCACCCTTTCCTGCAGAGGCAGCAGATACACTATGGCATCTACATTGTACACCAGGTTTCTTCATTACACACACATTTACTGTAAAACTTTGATGAAGTTATGTCTTTCATGAAGGTGCTCTTCAGTAAATCTTTGGTAACTGTTCCTTTACTGAGACCTTCCTATCAGGTTTTCAAAGCATCTTTTTCTCTTGTGCTTCTTTGTTGTCAGTCAGGAAACTCGACATTTAACCGTGCAAAACTACTGAATGTGGGAGTGCGGGAAGCTCTGAAGGAGGAGGACTGGGGTTGTATCTTCCTTCATGATGTGGACCTGCTTCCAGAAAATGACCACAACACCTACACTTGCCACCCACAGTACCCCACTCACCTCTCCGTGGCTATGGACAAGTTCAGATACAGGTAGCACCCTTTAGAAGACATGCAATAGGACATCAGCACAAATAAGAGAATGCTATGACCAGCTTTTCTCTCCCTGTAGGCTTCCGTACCCTCAGTACTTTGGTGGAGTGTCTGCCCTCACTCCAGACCAGTACCTCAAGATGAATGGCTTCCCAAATCAGTACTGGGGCTGGGGAGGAGAGGATGATGACATTGCTACTCGGTGAGGACCAAGCCTCATGAACATGCACTCAACAACCATACGA